TGTCTTCCAATTCTTTTCGATACAGTGACTCAGTATATTCCTTCCATCTTCTTTTAATACTTCCGGGATCATTTAACATTCTGCCGAAATCATCCTTGATTATATCTACCATCAGCTGATGTGATTGAAATCACAGAAGCCATGGAAGCTTCATATATAAGTTATTAGATGGAGGGCTGGTGAAGGGGGGGTGGAAGTGGATGGATATCCTGTGGGATCATGAAGCAGGAAATAAGTGCGTAAAGGTGCATGTGAGAAAGGCAGGGACAACACTGACACTAAAGTTAACTCCGCAATAAGGGATATACCTTTAACTTGCTGGTCTGTCTAATACTTCTCTAAATCTGAACATTCACATTGAGACAGATGAGGAAGAAGGATTGGCCATCCACTTCTGAAATAGCAGGCCTCTGAAAACCCTATGTACAGAACTTTATTAGGGAAATAAAAAAGCTATTATTCAGGTTAGTAGCATAGTACAGTCACTCAAGACAGCTGCTGTCATGTGCCCACAGGAACGTCAGCCTTCAGCCTCAGGCCTTAGGCCAGTCCTGCCAGTTATGGCTCCCCCCCTCTTCCGCTCTCCAGTCCTCCACCTTACTTGGGCAAAGGCTTTTAACTTTGGTTCCCCATAGAGTAGCAGTCCTATGGTCACCTTTTGCCTTTGTCAAGCCTGTGGTTCTCTGCTGCTGGCTTCTATGGCTGCTGCTCCCATTATGCCCTGGTCTGGTTGGCACAAGAATCTCTGGGTCTGAAGGATGTGCTGCATTCTCTTGCTTCTTATTTGCTATTAGTGAACTTCTCAAGTTTTGCTGCTGGATCCTCGTAATTCAATCCAAGACTAGCCAATCCCCTTGTGGTAAGGCTAATACTCCTCCTGTTCACATATTCCTGCCCGTATACATGGTAAAGTCAGTCATTGGCTAAGGAGGTCATTTTGAACAATAAACCCTTAACACCAGAAGAATGATCAGCTGTGCTTTGATCTTCTGGTGGCTTTTCAGAGGCAGTAAATGACCCAGGAGGAGATTGCTGATCTTTCTCCCATGGAACAGCTGGTGGATTCTAACCATGAGATTTTGGGTTGGCAGCACAGCTCCTTACCGCTAAGCCAGCAGAGCTCCCTTTTTGTGATTAGAAAATCGGTAATAAAATTGCAACATGACCTCTTGAACTTTTTTCAGTAACCATACGCTCTAACTGGCTATGAAGAAACTTAAAAATTAACTAAAAGTAAAATGGTAGAATATTCATAAGATATACAAATCGAACTATTTTAAAACTTTCCTATTTCTCTTAAGTTTTCCTTGCTTACAGGCAAAAGAGTCTATAAAGATATTTGTGTATCACTGGAGAACATTATGCTAAGTGAACTAACTCAGTCTCATAAAGACAAATACTGTATAAGATCATTATTGTAGATCAAGTATGGGGATCCAAGGAGGGGAGAGGGTGACAGAGATGTGACCATGGGACGTGCTTAATCATAAAGTCGCAGAATTTGGTGGGTGGAGGGAGGGATGGGTAAAGGAAAGGGGGAAGATCTGGTGTGAAAAACAATGTATACAACTTTGTAAGTAAACCAGTATAAAATTCTTTAAAAAGATGTATATTTATCAAAGATTAAATTAGCAACATTTCTTTGCATATATTAATAATGTAATAGTTATATTTAAACTGTTTTTTAAATATTCCATTAACATTTGGTTACATGTAATAAATTTATTCAGTAAAAAACTAAGCTATTTAAAAATTTTTCTTAGATTATACTTAATTCAGTTACTTGAATTATTTTACAGGATGATTTTGTTTTAAACTCTCTTAACTGATAAGTTACTGATAATAAAAATGAATATATTAATAATCAAAAAATACAAAAGATAGATTATCATAATAAAGAAAGTTGAGTTTTTAGACATTAGAGAATAAATATTAAAAGAAGCTTCATTCACTAGAATATCTGAAGTGCGTTTTGACACTCTGTTTGATGATTTTCTGTGAATTCAGCTGTCACTGTGTTTTCCATTCCTCACATGCAGGTTTGACTGTGCAGACCGGCAATTCCATTCCATCCCTGCTACTTGGCAGGCGCTCATGGACAATCCATATGATGTGAAAGAGCTTATTCCTGAATTCTTCTATTTTCCAGAGTTTTTGGAGAATCAAAATCGTAAGACATAGGGGATTAAAAATTAATAAATTCTAATGGAATAGTCGGAAAAACGTTTTTCAGGAAATTTTTTGTCATATTCTACAGATTATTTAAGATTTATTCAGTCTGTAGATCACTCAGTGACAGAACTAAACAAATACCAAGTACCAGTCTTAGCTTCTAAGGAAGTCTTAAAGGTCTTAAGATAAATGGGACAATTTGAATTTATTAACAAATTTATCAGAGTATAGTGTTTACTAATGATAGCTTTGGTCACCAGTTCAAATTGTCTCATTTTATCTTAGTGCCTTATTATTTCCTGAAGGACCTCTGGTGGCTTAGTGGTAAGGAGTTGCTCTACCAACCCAAAGCCAGGCAGTTCAAGTCCACCAGCTGCTCTGTTGATAAGCAGACTCCTGCTGTTATTTAGAGCCTCTGAAAACCTCCTGGAAGGTCAACTATGACTTGATTCCTACTTGACAGGATATAAGAACAAGTGTTTACTAAAGAAGTTAAGCTGACCTGTGCTCTTTCAGTAATATAACCCTTTAGATCAAAAATCTTGTAGTTAAAAACAAGATCTAAGACCTAAATATGGCCTACCATTAGCTTTTTGTTGTTTTGGGCTTTTGTTTATTTTTATGTTTTATTTTATTTTTGTTGTTGTTGAGAGTCTGCACAGCAAAACAAACACCAGTTCAACCCCTACTAAAATACAACGATTCAGTGACATTGATAACTTGTTTCATATTGTACCACTCTTTCTAAGTTGTTCTCCATTAACATAAACTCACTGCCTCCTCTGGTTGAAAAGGTAAATGGTGAATTACGTCTTAGGCTGTTTTTAAGAATTTATATGTGTGTGTGTGTACCATAGAGTCAGAACCGACCCATAGGTGACCCACCGGTGGATTTTCAGAGGTATTTTAATCACACAGGAGGAGATTGCCCATCCTTCTCCCACAGAGCGGCTGGTGGCCTTAAACTGCATGCCTTTGAGATTGCAGCTCAGTTTCTTGCCACTAGTCCACCAAAGCAATATGTATTACATACATACACATAAACACACACACGTACACAGACACATACACTTTATTTTATTGTGATTTTAATGAAAGTTTATAGAAAAGTTGGATTTTCGTTCATTCATTGTTACATATCATTGGTTTTTAGACATAAAATTTTATTGAAACACAGCTAGCCTACTCCTTTATTATGTGTGGCTGCTTTTTTAGTGTAACAACAGGTTTGCTTGCATAGTGATAGTAAAACATATCACCCACACAGTGGAAAACATTTATTCTGTGGCTTCGTATAGAAAAGTTTGTTGTCATCTGATTTAGATCTGTCAAAGGAGACCAAAAAAATAAAGACAGAGTATATGTTAATGCAATATTTGAAAGTTTACATTGTTTTTTCAAGTAAAGAACCAGAAATGAAATTTTTATTTTTTTTTCTATAATTATATTTTATTAATTTTCATAAACATTTAAATACTTTATTAAAGATATTTTTATTTTTAAGCACAGATGGTGAAAATAGATTAACACTGATGTTTTTTAAGGGAATGTCAAAGTGTGAAAAGGCTAAATCAACTTCTTTTTCCTCCCATAGCAGATTACTTTAAGTGCTGGACTCTATGTAGTTAGTAAAGTTGTGAGAGTCAGATGCATATCCAGGGCTTGGTGTCACTGTGCCAGTCTTACCTTTCAAGGGGCCGTTTACCTTCCAGTTTGGGGCAGAAAGTCTAAAAAAACAGCAGTCAGAACTGGTAACTTTAAAAAAGTCAGCTAAATTGATCCTAGACTCAGTTAATGAGACTAAGGGCTCCTAAAACAGAGTATGTACCTGAGTTAAGAGAGATGCTTATATGCTAAGATTAGATTTTGTTGCAGAACTTCACAATTTGTTAAAATATTGACCAGAGCCAGAGTATTTATTTAGCACTACTTTCTTAAAGCTTTCATTTCGAACTCTTATGTTTTTGAAACAAGTGGAATTCTTCATTGTTTCTTTACCAAGATTGATAAAATCTTTCTCATAACTTCCTCCTAGCTGTCCAGAAATGGGTAAGATAGACTAATAACTAGTCAAACATAGTGAACAAAAGTTTCCCTGATTTAGTAATCCTGGTTAATCCTTGCATTATATAGCTTTAAAAAGGACTTTGAACTTAATCTAAGCTCTGCCAGATAGGAAGGAATGGCTATTGAGTGGGTAACATAGTGATATATAAATATAGCCTTCTTCCACAAGGCGAATACAGCTTGCCCAAGGAATGATTCTAAAGTGTTACATAAAAATCTTTAAGGAACTTTATTTTTTAAGATCACCATTGGAGACTACAATTTCCACTGTGTATCCTTTGAGTACCAACACCCCATTTCTCCACTGTGTATATACACTACATTTTCTTTATACATTCATCTGCCGATACACAGTTAAGTTGATAGTTCACTTTCTTTTTAAGTTACTTATTTCTAATGTATGAGAAGCATTTATTGTTGTTCAAATTAACATGAGGATTATAGCTATCATTTCCCTATTTTTCCTAACAAAAATTTGTCATCTGATTTACCTTGCAAAAAATAAATATTGTTTCCATTTCATCTGCAGTTTTTTTTAAAAATCATTTGATGAAATGTATTCTGGTAGATATGAATGTTCTATTTAGGAAGTGAATTTAGATTTAAAAGAGACTCAGTTTTCACCTTTGACTCTTAACTAAAGAAAAATAAAAGCTTCTGTTTTCCTCTAGATTATACTCTAATTTCTATTTGTTTTATTTAAATTTGAAGTGCTTTTATACACTTATCTTTTATGTGTCTTAGAATTTAATTTGGGCTGTCTACAAGCTTCTAAAGAAGTAGTGAATGATGTCATTCTCCCCAAATGGGCTAAGTCAGCTGAAGATTTCATCCACAAACATAGGAGAGCTCTGGTAAGACGTTTGTCTTTAATTAATAGATAGATAGATGAAGATAAAGTGCTTTTAAAAACATAATTGTTCATTAATTCTAGATTACGTTGCAATCCATTTTATTCAGGCCTCTTTAAAAAAGGTGGTGAACTAATGTTTTGACCATAACAACTAAGACACAGTAAGTCACTCTATAGACTTGCACAACTCCAAGTTAGCCTATTCCATAATATATGTTTGCTGTATGTGAAAACTATTATAGTGAATAAACTGGTATAGGTTGATGTTTTTCAGTTCTCACATTTGATCAGATTAACAATCAAAAGCTTTTGCTTTCTCTGAAAGATTTTACTAAATTAAAAAGTCACCTTCTTTACCAATGCTACAGTAGTTGAGTAGCGTGATTTCAATTTTTTTTTCTTCCAATTTAAAATTTTGCTTACTACTTTAGCACTATTGGCCAATTGATATTTTCTTTGTAGAACTACTTTGTTGTTTGGTGTGTTTAATCTTGGTGTATTTGTATTTTTAGTATTAATATCTTCGATATTATTAATAGAATTCACCTGTCATCTGTTTATTACAAATATCTTTATCAGATCTTTGGTATATAATATTTTGTGGAGCTTTTTGAGGAAAGAAGGACATTTTTTTTTTGTTTGTTTTTTGGGTTTGGTTTTGTTTTTTTTTTTTAATTTTATTATTTTTCTGTGAGTGTACCGTCAAATCAGATCTGACTGGTACAGGAGGAGATTGTCCTTCCTTCCCCGGCAGAGCATCTGGTGGATTTGAACCATGCGCCTCTGGGATTGTAGTTGCAGCTCCTTGCCAATAGGCCACCAGAGCTCCCCTAGGACATTAATTTTAACATTGTTGGTATATCAATATTTTTGTGATGTGTTTGCTTTTTGACTCTTATTTAATAAACTTTTTTCTTTGTAATTAAAGTTAATATATGTTTACTACTTTAGCTTCTGAAAGTTTTATGTTGTGCATGTTTATTTTATTTCTTAATTCACTTATTGTTTTTGCATGTGATGTAAGATGGGGATCAGTTTTCACTTTTAAATGTGATTATTCAATTGTTTCAGCATCATTCATTGAATTACTTATTATATAACAATATTATTCTTATTGTATCTAAACTGATATATACACATAATCCTTTCCTTAGCTCTGGTGTTTGTTTGTTTGTTTGTTTGTTTGTTTTGTCATCATTTGTTTTGTGGTTTTTGTTTTTTTGTTGGTTTTTTTCAATCTTTAAATTATATAGACTGGTGAAAAAAAAAAGTCAACTTCTAAAAGCCACTTAAAAATTATTACTAGTGTAATATTCTATTTAAGAATGCACAAAGTTAGTTTATATTACTGTTAGTATCTTGCAGAAACTAAAATTAGGCAGGTACTTTGTAACACTCCTTATCATTAGTATGTAAATTGTTAAGTTTCTAAGATTAAATTATAAGCCTTATAAGAAAACTCAGAATTGAGAAAGCGGACATCTGGTGCTTGATTATTTAACTTGGAGTTGTGCAAGTCTATGGAGTGACTTCAAAATGGGTGAAGTTCATAAGGGCAAGAAAATTTTTGTGCCGAAGTGTGCCCAGTGTGAAACTGTGGATAAGGCGGCAAGCACAAGACTGGGCCGAACAGAAGACTGGTCAAGGCCCTGGATTCTCTTATACAGATACCAATAAGGACAAAGATGTCACCTGGGGCAAGGATACACTGATGGAGCATCTGGAGAAATACAGCCAAGAAATACATCCCTGGAACAAAAATGATCTTTACTGCCATTAAGAAGAAGACAGAAAGGGCAGAGTTGATAGTGTATTTTAAGAAAGCTACCAATGAGTAACATAGTTGGTCTCTGCTTTATTTATTATAAAATACAAATGTCCTGTGACTTTTTATTTTACATACTATCTTTAAATTGATCTCATACCAGAATTTAGATCATGAATGGCTGATAGAATATTTTTCTTAGACAGTCCTGCATTTGGTAAGATTGGCTTTGTTTAAATTATTACGGTCACACTTTTATAATTTTTATAGTAATTTAGCAGGTGTTGTTCACTGTTTTTCCTTTCCAAAGAGATGACTGGACACTAGGTTAGTTGGATTAGTCATACTCAGTTTTTAGCAGAGGTGGTGGATGTCACCTCACAATCTATAGGAGATAGTATTTATATTTAGATTCTATAACTGATTATATGAATCTTATTTAAATACTAAGATGTCTTTTCTGTCATATGGAACAGAACACAACTGCTTCAATTTCTATCAGCCTGTTTAAATGTAGAGGCTAGAGATAGAGTAGCAAAGACTTTATCTGCTCTTGACTATGATAATCGAATTCAAACTCCCTGTATCTAAAATTTGCCTTTTAAGCAACAAAAAAGCATTTCAGTGTGGTTTGTGTATGATATCAAATAAAGAATGTTTAAACACTTCTCACATGTAAAACAATAAAACTCAAAATTAGACTGTAATATTTGTAAGCAAGAGCCTGACGTATGAATTGGGAACTGGAAATTTTAAAACAATAAAGCAACTGTGAAAAATAACATAGCCAGCCAGGAGCTTTTCCTGTGCTTTGCGTCTACACTGTCTGTGAAATGAGGTAGGAGCTGGATTTTAGGAAGACAGAAAGGCCAGAAAAGAATGGAATTGATGCCTTTGAGTTATGGTTTTGATGGAAAGTATTAAATAGCCATGGACTTCCAAAAGAACAAGTAACTATATTTTGGAGAAAATACAACCAGGATTCTCCTTAGAGGCAAAGATGGTAAAATTTCATCTCACAGACTTGGTCATGCTGTCAGGAAGCACCAGTCCTTGGGAAACATAAAAGATCATTAACATTGGAAGGTCCTCAGTGAGATGCAGTGACAATAACTCTATATATAGGCTTGAACATGTCAGAGATTGTGAGGATGGCATAAAATAGGACAGAATTTCAATCTGCTATTCATAGAGCTATTATAAATTGTAGTCAATGACACCTAACAATAGTGCCTTCTTAAGTGATTACTGTTATTCTGTGTCATCAAGTTGGAACTGACTCATAGCTAACCTTCCAGCAAGTTTTCAATTGTAGTAAATGGCATAGGAAGAAATTGCCCTTCTTTCTCCCACAGAGTAAGTTAGTGGATTCGAACCATATGCTTTTGGTATGGCAGCACAGCACAGCTCCTTGCCACTAGACCACAAAATCTCTTAAAAATAATTGCCAATGGCAATATCACTATAAAGACATCAGTAATTCTTTTGTAATTTTTTTGGGGGGGTTTCCATTCATTCATTGTTGTACTTTTCTCCCCTCCCTACCCTCCTCCCTAGTACACTACTCTCTTGGAAAAGTAAAAGAAAAGCGCTTTCATTGTTTTACAAACCCTCCCCCAGGTCCACTCCACCATGTAGCCTTCGCTGTGGACTCCTGTCATGACAAAAATACCTAATCACATATCCCTTTTAAACAGTTTTCTCCCTCATCTGTTTCAGTGCAGTATACATTCTTTATCCCATCTTTCTCAGTCTCTCCCCAGCCCCGAGGTCAGTCCTGTTTTACAACAGTGGGACCATGCAGTATTTGTCCTTTTGTGACTGAGATACTTCACTCAGCATAATGTCCTCCACGGTCACCCATTTTGAATAATATTGCATTGAGTTCCTTGTTTTTCAAAGCAGCATAGTATTTCATTGTGTAAATAAACCACAACTTCCCTATCCATTCATTTGTTGATGGGCAGTTAGGTTGTTTCCAACTCCTTGGTATTGTGAACAAAGCCGCAGTAAACATGGGTGTGCATATATCTGCTTGGATGTCAGTTATGGTCACTTTGGGGTATATTCCCAGTAGTGGAATTGCTGGGTCAAATGGTATGTCTATTTGCAACTTTTTAAGAAAACACCATACCGCCTTCCACAGTGGTTGCACCATTTTACACTCCCACCAACAGTGAATAAGGGTTCCAGTTTCTCCACAACCTCGCCAGCATTTGTTGCTTGCTGTTCTGTTAAATTTTGCTATTCTGACTGGGGTCAGATGATAACTCGTAGTTGTTTTATCTTTTGTAATTTTTTAACAGTATTCTTGTATTTTTTTCACCCTTAAGTTAGCAAGTGTATATACTGTTGACACTGCCATCAAGGTGGCTCAGACTCCTAGTGACCCGTACATACAACAGAATGAAACTCTGCCCTATTCTATGCCACCTTCACAGTCTCTGCTGTGTTAAACTCGTTAGTTGTGTGCGGTTACCTTTCTTTTCTGTGGATTTCTGGTAACATGCCCAAATATATTAGCATATGTATTAAAATTAGTAAGTGTGGTATCTACGTTATAGTAGCTATGAATAGTTACTACAGGGACTAGTTAATGAGGTAATTGTTTAAAATTATTTTGAAAGAATTTTATTTCTAGTGAGTAAGCTTTATGTAGGTTAAATATTTAGTTTGTTCTTTTTAAAAGGTTCCTTATCCTGAATTTTAGTTGGAAGGTATCTCCATATAAATTATTTACCTTGTTCTTTTTCTAGGAATCTGAGTATGTTTCTGCTCATCTTCATGAATGGATAGATTTGATTTTTGGCTATAAACAGAGGGGACCAGCTGCAGTAGAGGCTCTCAACGTTTTCTATTACTGTAGTTATGAAGGTATATTTTTCTCTTGTGTTACGTTGATAGAAATTATAGTTGATATGTACTTACACATGATATTTTGGAATTGTTTTATATGGCAGAAAGTATATTGGAAAAATATTACTTTATTTTCCTGTTTGAAAATTAAAGCTGGTGATTTTTTCTCACCTGTTTTTTTTCTTTGTTATGTAGTTGAATTTGTATAAATAAATGTGATGATAGATGTGGCATATCATTAATTTTTTATTACCTCTGGCTATATATGTCCTATTGGGGGAGCCTACATTAAATATTTTCTTTAAATCAATTTAAACTAAACATCATATTGTTTTTAGATTTACATAGAAATTATCATAATCATTAAAAAAATGATGACATTGTTCTGATACTTAGGTCACAATGTTCAAGGATATAAAAATTCCTTCTCCCTCGCTCTTAGGTTGAGCCAGTAGTTCTAAAGAGTTATGTCAGTTTGAGCAGAGCCATTTAGTAAGTTAACAAGCAGGCTTTTATCATACCATTCTGGTAGTAGTTTTCATGCAGGTTACCACCAAGTTAATTTTGATTCACAGTGACCTGATGGATGTCAGACTAGACCTATATGTGATTCCCCGTGCCCCTTTTTTTGGAAGTGGATCAGCTGGCCTTTTTTCTGAGATGCCTCTGGGTGGACTGGAGTCCCTGACTTTTTGGTGAACAGCATGCTAACTATTGTCTAAAAAAAAGTTTCCCGATTCTGTGCCATTTCTGTGATCAGTTGAGGGTCAAACTATTTTGTCTATAGGGTTTTCATTGCCTAATTTTGAAATAGATCTCTAGGTCTTTCTTCCTCATCTTTCTTAATCTGCACATGCCCCAAACATGTTCAACATCATTACAACATGCAGTTCACCGCTGACAGATGGTAGTGGCTCCATAGGCCTTCTGCCTGAAAAAATTATAATTCTATTATTAAACCACTCAAACTCACTGCCATTGAAACTCACTGTTCATATTATTAGCACTGGTCATTTTTCATATATGGGCAGGAAGAGACGGCCCGACTTTCTCCAGCAGATGGTGGATTCAGACTGCCAGAGAATTGTAGCTTTTGGGTTTGCAACACAGTTTTGCTTGTAGTGTGCCACCAGTACTCCCAATAAACAGCTAATATGGTTCTGATAGTTTTTTGAGAGGAAGTAATGTGACTTTTTTTTTAGGAGTGGGGACTTTTCTTTTGGGAATGCATATGTTAGCCAGTTAATAATCGTGTGACAATTCATGTTAAGTATTGCTGAGAATACTCTGTTAAGTAGATTTTAGATAAGTAGGAACTTGTAATAGTATTTTTGTGTTGTTGTTGTTTTCACGTGATTATTGTCAAGGTATTTTAGCAACACAAACTAAACCTGTTGCCATGAGGTTGATTCCAACTCTGTTGCCTTTAGGTTGATTCCAGCTGACAGTAGTCCCATGAGACAATAGAATTGGTCTGTACTAAGTCTTTAGGAACATTAGAGCAGCTTGTGGTGTTTGGATCCCAAAGCTGCCCTTAATGCTAGAAATTATAATGCTGAGCATTAAGTAACTGCTGCTTTGGGGAAACAGAGACTATAGCTAAATGGCTCAGAAGAAACCAAAGAAGGCTTTCAGGAGCAAACTAAAGTGGTTTTGTTTGTCTTGGTTTGGTTTTGTTTGTCTTGGGCAGCTGCTTCTAACTCTCAGTTTAATTATGTGCATAGTGTCATCAACTTATTGGTCACTTTGTGTGAAAAGCACTTTTTATATTCCCTTCTTATAACCAAAAAATATTCCTGCCATTTTCAAACCTTTGATGACTTAGATAAAACTGCCTTTTATTGTATATTCTAAGAATGAAATAAATGTAGATTTTATATTTCATTGGGATGAATTCTTAGGTTGTTTCAGGGCAGTAAATCTTGACAATAATTGCTTCTATTACTTGTGCTTGTATTATCTTAGGTATATGTTACTTAATATACATTAGCTGGTGTAATCTTTAAATTAGAATGAAATTTACTATTATCATCTCACTTCTATAGATGAGAAAAATGAGTTCTTACCAAATTGCTACTTATTTGTAATCAAACACCTTGACAAGTGCTCACTTTGGCAGCATTAGTATGGCCACTGCACAAGAATGACATGCAGATACATGAAGCGTTCCATATTTCCCCCAAACGCCTTGACAACAGACAAACTTGGCATTTAAACTTGATCCTAATAAATAACCACCTTTCTGAGTTGTCGTCTTAGATACTCCTTTCTTTTCTATTTTCATTAAGTGTTATTTTCTCATGAAAGGAGGTTTGTACCTCTTTGAAAATTGTCATTTATACACATATGAAGGTTTATGAAGGTTTTATCCTGAAAGAAAAGCAACTGATTTAAACACATTGTTATGAACCATATTACTTTAATCAAATCCCATGACCTATCATGTTGGACATGACTGAATCATATACATTCCTTATGGTTCAGTTTCTCCACTATAGAGGTCTGTCCAGTTCTTAGAATTACATGTGTCTATGAATGTATTACCATTATGTTATTGTTGTTGTTAAGTGCTGTTGAGTCGCAGGCAACTCATTGTGACCCTATGAACGAAAGTCCTGGACACCTCCTGTATAAGTTTCGTCCTTTCTGCAGGTTCATAGGGTTTCCAGAGGCAAGCTATTGTGGAATTGGATGCCACTTCTGCTTCCAAGCTTGTTTTAATCAAAGAGCTTCACCAAACACTGTCCACCATGGCACCAGTCTCGTATTTGACTCATCTGTGTCAGTGTTCGGCTTCACAGCAACCACGAGTTACCTCTGTACAGCAAGTGGACATACCAGGGTTATACAACCTAGAGGAATGTTTCACCAAAAACAAAGGCAAGCCTGAGGGCTGGAGAGTAGAGTCAACCACCTTTGCAGTCCCAGTGTAGCCATCTAAATAATACAAGAAGTCCTCTTAAAGAGGTGAACTCAAAAGTTGACTGCAATTATGACAGAAAAGTCCAGAAAAAAGATATCATAAAAAATTATACCCGAAAAAGATATCATAAAAAATTGTTATACTACATGAACTTATAAAATCTTAACACAAATATTATCTTAAATAAACAGATTACATCCATGGCATAGTAATCCCCTTCCAAACTTTATGGTATGTATGAGTGGTTATCTAGACAACCTTAGTAACAACTATAACAGTATTTGGATTTCTTTCTGGCCTCAGGTAGTATTAATGTCAGCTTGTCCCTTAAATTCCTTCCAAATCATCTCATGACTTATTTCACTAAGGAAGTATGTGTCTGTGTAGTATTCCATTGTATTAATATACTATTGTTTTTTCTATCCATTTGTTTGTTCATGGGTGCTTGAGTTGCTTCCATCTCTTTGCTATTGTCAGTAATACATCAGTAAACATGGGTGTGCATCTAACTATTTGGATGACAGTTATGGTTTCTTTTGGCTATATTCCCAGTAGTAGTAACATTGCTGGGTCAAATGGTATTGCTATTTCCAACTTTTTGAGAAAGTACCAAACTGCTTTCCATGATGGTTGCACTGTTTTCACTCCCACCAGCAGTGAATAAAGGTTCCAGTCTTTCCACAGCCTGGCCAGCATTTATTGTTTGCTGCTCTGTTGAACTTTGCTGTTGTTACTGAGTGATATCGTTGTTTTTATTTGTATTTCTCTGATAGCCAGAGATTTTGAACATTTATTCATGTGTTTGCCACCCTTATTTCGTTTTTGTTCAAGTATCTATATCCTGTGGCCGTTTTGCTTTTGGGTTATTTACCTTTTTCTTGCTGAGGTACCGGGGTATTCTATAAATTAGATATGCATCTCTTATAAAATATGTCATTACCAAATATTTTTTTACCAGTCTATGGCTTTATTACCTCGTTGGAGAAGTTTTCATATGTGCATACAGATTTAATTCTTAGAAGGTCCCATTCATCTATTTTATTCTCCTGGTTGTAGATTGCATGTAGAATTTTCAAGGTTGTAAGAAAAGAGCCCTAAAGAAAAAAAAAGCCCTAATTGTGCAGTGGTTAAAGTATTTGACTGCTTATCAAAAGGTTATTGATTTGAACCCACCAGTTGCTCTTGAGGAGAAAAACTAAGGCAGCTTACTTGTGTAAGCTTAGAAATTTGATAGAGCAGTTCTTCCCTACACTGTGGGGTTGCTGTGATTTGGAATCATTTCAATGGCAGATTATTTGGATTCTAAGTGTAATTTTTCCCCCAGTGTTTAAAGAAGCAGACTGCCATTGTGTCTTTAACAAGTGGAGAAGCTCATGGGGTTGAACAACAAATTTTTTGGTTAGCTGTCAAACATTCCAACATCTATAAGAGATTATTTTCTGCCTAATTATGTTTGACTAGACAGATGATAATGGTTATGGTTGTTATTAAAACATTTTAATTATAAATAATGGGTAAAATTTCTTTTATACCCATATAAATTTGAAGCTTTATATTTTTATTAAATAATTCTTGACAGTTTTTAAAATTGAAAAAATGGAATAATACTTGTTGGAAATGTATTGATCAGTTTCTTACATTGTATGGCTTGCTAATTTGTTTTCACTCTATGGTGAGATGACTACTTCTCTTGATTTTAGGAGCTGTGGATCTAGATGCCTTAACAGATGAGAAAGAAAGAAAAGCCTTAGAAGGGATGATTAATAATTTTGGGCAGACACCTTGTCAACTGTTAAAGGTAAAGCATATAAATTATTCATAAAATTAAAATTTTACAATTAAAATCAAGTTATGTTTCTAGTATTTTTTAAAGATAATGATTTTAAAACATTATTTCAAACTTATCTAGAAATTGAGAAAATTTATACCATCATTTAAAAGTACATTTAAGTGATTGTCTCTGTTTTGAAGTAAAAACATCCACATATACAGCCAGTTACTCTCTCACAAGAGGATTTGTCATTTTTTAGAAAGCCAGTGACAATATTTCACCATTTCTGAAAAAGGGAAAAAATTAGATTATTTCCAAAATTAAAGGTTCAGCCTCATTTTTAATTTGGAACACTCTTTGGAGTTTTACTAAGCATTTACCATGTCTAAGACAAGTATTCCACAGATAGAAACAATCATGGAGGATTGACAGGTAGGTGAGGAGGGAAAGAGAAACAGAAAGTGGATGGATGGGTAGGATGAAAGGAAAGGCAAGGGTGCAGAGAAGATGATGACATGTTGTGATTTAATGGCATTTATCATTGTAATTACTGTTATAAAAATGTACATGAAGCAAAGAACATTAAACAAAGGAAGAAAGGTTACTGATTCTATATATAGTCAGTTGTTTTGTGTTTTTTTTAAAGTAATTCAACTTGTGGAAGGGCCAGTTCTCTTGCACCATGTAAGACGGCTCTGGCCTCTTGATCGGTGGTGAGAGTGGACTGGGAACCTCTCGTTGGAGCCAATGAGAATATAGTGTTATTTTATTTTGGAGGAATATTCTTCCAAGTCCTCTCAATTTGCTGCACTGAAGTAATCTGGATTTGCTGTGACACTGAACCATTTGCCATTGGTTCCCAAATGCCATAATGGAACAACTGTGCCATAGATGTGCCAAACACCATAATGGCTGCCAATCATGGGACGTGTTTGGTGGCACTCCCATACTGATTAAGGTTTGGAAGCTGGAGTGGCATTCACTTTCTAAACCACATGCCTGTGGAAGCATTATGAACCTGGAGAAACAGCAATAGTTATAGAAAGATGTCTCATATGTTGTTGTTGTTATGTGCCATCGAGCCACTTGCAACTCATATCAACCCTATGTACAACAGCCCTGAACCCTGTTCTGTCTCATGCCAACCTCATATGTGTGTCTGTGGAGGTGGGTGTTGGGCCCATGTATTTAAATATCAGTTAGACCTGAGAGTCTAGTGTTATTTTTGGAGGAATATTCATCAAAATTTTGCAGCACTCCTCTCTCAATTTGCTGCACTGAGGTAATCTGGGTTTGCTGTGATGCTGAACTTTGTGCCATTGGGGGACAGTTGCCATAATGTCTACCCGAGGTGGACAGTATTTGATGGAGCTCCCAGTTTAAGACAGGTTTGGAAGCAGGAGTGGCCCCACTTTCTAAACCACATGCCTCTGGAAACTCTTTGAACTTGGAGAAACGATGATAGGTATAGAAAGGCTTCATGCCTTTTGTTCATAGGGTCGCCATGAGCTGTGCTTGACTCAATGACATTGAACATCAACATCTAAAAAAGCATTTAGTCACCAGTATGGGGCTGGAATCCAGATTGGGAAGTTATCTGGAGTAGCCTGATTCTATAGAGGTTTGTTTTCTAGTTCTGGTAAGGATTGGGGTGGAATGATTACTCGCCATTGAGTGTGAATTGATGTTATTAGGCCACCAATTGGAAAAAAAATTTGGTCAAGCATTCCTCTTAAGTGGTATAGCACTGATCTGCCCATTTGCTCTACAGAGGTAACTTGTGGTGGCTGTGATGCTAAACACTGTGACACTAATTTGTCAGATGTGATAATGGTTATCCATGGTGGACAGTGTTTGGTGGAGCTCCCCAATTAAAACAAGCTTGGTATCTCTATTTGCAACTTTTTGAGAAAGCACCATACTGCCTTCCACAGTGGTTGCACCATTTTACACTTCCACCCATACACCCCAGCAATTCCACTACTAGGAACATACCCCAAAGAGACCGTGAGTGCCACCCAAGCAGATATGCACACCCATGTTTATCGTGGCTTTATTCACAATAGGAAAGAGTTGGAAACAACCTAAGTGCCCATCAACAAACGAATGGATAGAGAAGCTGTGGTATATTCACACAATGGAATACTATGCTGCATTGAAAAACAAGAAACTCATGCAATATTATTCAAAATGGGTAACCCTGGAGGACATTATGCTGAGTGAAGTATCTCAGACACAAAAGGACAAATACTGCATGGTGCCACTGTTGTAAAGCAGGACTGACCTCGGGGTTGGGAGGAGACTGAGAAGGATGGATTCAATAATGTATACTGCATTGAAACAGATGAGGGAGAAAACTGTGTAAGAGGGAAAATTATTAGGTATTTTTGTCATGACAGGAGTCTAGAGCGAAGGCTGTATAGTGGAGTGGACCTGGGTGGAGGGATTGTAAAACAATGAAAGAATTTTTCTTTTACTTTTCCAAGAGGTTAGTATACTAGGGGGGAGGGGAGAAAAGTACAACAATGAATTAATGTAAATCCAAAGTCTCTAAATTTTCATTGAAATTAATAATAAATTTTTTAAAAAAAACAAGTTTGGAAGCAGAAGTGGCATCCTCTTCCAAAACAGCTTGCCTACATAAACCCTATGAACTTGGAGAAATGCTGAAAGTTCAGGTCTTTCATTCATAGGGTCACTATGAGTCATTTATGACTCAATGGCAGTTAACAACAACAGTATATAGTCAAAGTGAACATGTTTGTGGACAAAATTATTTTTATGGGAGATTGGCTAGTTTAGTTTCAGCCTGCAAGGAATAAGTTCCAGAATCTGTGACTCAAAGAGGTAAACAGAAGAAAACATTTGTTCTTAATGCCAAAGGGGGAAAAAATGTACATGAGTGTTTGAATGAAAATCATTCTTTAAAACTGTTACTTGTCGGGGTGGAGGTGGGTGGGTGCGGGGGGATTGCGTACCAATGAAGGAGTTTTTCTTTTGCTTTTTCAAGGAGAAGAGCGAACTGGAGGTGGGGGTGGGGTGGGCAAGGAGAAAAGTGCAACCATGAATGAATGGAAGTCCAAAATCTCTGGAGATGTTCATTGAAATTAATTTTAAAAAAATGTTATTTGTGCTTTAAAATCCAGTAATTAGTAGGATTTGCTCTCTTAAAATACCTGTTATGTTATTGAGAACATCGGATGACAAACAAGGGTTTGTAATCCAGTGGGAATAAGAATTAAATAAAATACTAAATAAAACAGTATACTGAGAACGAAAATAAAAGGAAAAATTAATTCTGACTTAGAAATTCAGAGCATTATCAATGGGAAAAACATTAAAGCATAAGTAGAGATTTTCTGAATCTGTAGAGGAACTCTGCTGAGGTCCACGTCTGTTTGAAACCATCAGCAGTGGATGTGTTTCTTGTAACTAGAAGCAAGTGCTAATGAAGGGATAAAATTAGAGATGTTTTAATATAACTGTGGGATTATTTTGAAGGAACCACACCCTCCGAGGTTATCGGCAGAGGAGGCAGTGCAGAAGCAGACCCGAACAGACACTTCAACCTTAAACCTGTTTCAGCACCTCCCTGAACTAAAGTCATTTTTCATAGAGGTAATATTCTCTTTAAAAAGATTTTTCATAACCTTAAAGAGTTTTCTCTGTAAATTCTGTTTGTAACATTTCATTGTAGAACAGTTGACAAGGGTTATATACTAATCCAAAACTGTAGATAATGATGAATTCTTTTTGGGGGGAGGGTGGAAGGGGGGGGTGGGCAAGGAGAAGGGTGCAACAATGAATGAATGGAATTCCAAAATCTCTGTAGATGTTCATTGAAATGAAAAAGAAATAATTTAATTTAAAAAAAATCTCAATAAAAGAAAAGATGTGGATGACAGATCCTAAAAAACAACCAAGTTATATAAAGACTTCTTTAATTTTTTATTTTGATGTTGTTGAATTAGTAATACTTTTCATATTAGATAAAGTACAGTTTGATTAAAAGTATGACTGATCTTAATGGTGAAAACCAAGGTGAAGTAGTAAGCAATTTATTGTCAATAAAACACTCAATTTTAAAAAGATATTTGAAAAAAAAATTCTTAGCTCCTAGAAAGTCGTGCACATCTTCTACTTAAATATTAGTTTTCCAGTTATTGAGGATTTTAAAAAATACGGTTATTATGGCTAATTCTGGAAGTTACAACAATATGATACATTAAATTTAAGTGTCATATACTTGTATTTTTAATATTCAGATGTTTATTTTGTGAAATATATTTGACATATGCTGCAATTTTATAGAATATAATATCAATTTCTTAAAGAAAAATAATGAATTATTTATAATTATATTTATATGTGTAATTAATATACATAATAATGTACTTGGATATTCACAACAATTTTATTAAAACTTTTTTGTTTGTTTCTGAGTGGTGTTCTCTTTTACCTAATTTTCATTTTTCTGACAAGAAGGAAATAATTTGTTGAAAATACATTTTATGCTATTTGATAATACGTAGTTGATGTTTTGTGCTATTAAATCAGCACTAACCCGTTGCAAAACCCCCACCTACCCCAAGTAGGTTTGCAGAAGCAGCAGTCGCAGGGGAGGAAATTACTCATCCTTCTTCCACAGAGCAGCTGATGGATTCTAACCTTGTGTCTTTAGGATTGCGGTGCATAAAAATCGTCTTTATAATGTCTAGTCATTTCTAAAATATGGCCCAATAAGTCAGCTTCTTAATTAATATCAAGAGGAATGTTCACAGACTTAGAAATTTATTTATTGAGTTACTTTGACTAGTTCAGGATGTTATGTTAAACCCTTTTATACCTATACACTTACCTATGTCTTTGGTGGTAGTGGTGGTTGTGTTGTATGTGCCATTGAGTCAAGTCCAACTCATAGGGATCCTGTGAACAGTGGGTCTGAACCTTGTCTTATCCTGTGTCATCCTCACTATCTTTGATATACTTGAACCCATTATTACAGTCACTGTATCAAACCATCTTGTTGAAGGTTTTCCTCTCTTAATGCTGATCCTCTGCCATTTCCAAGCATGATTTGTTTTTGCAGGGACTGACTACTCTTAACAGTATGCCCAAGTGTGTGAAAAGCAGTCTTATCATCCTTGCCTCTAAAGAGTAACCTGATTGTACTCTCTCCAAGACATTCTGTTTGTTCTTTTGGTATTCTGTGGCATATTGAATACTCTTCTCCTACACTGCCAGTCAAAGGTATAAGCTCTTCTGTCATCCTTATGTACTGTCCCAACTTTAAAATGCATAGGAAGTCATTGAAAAGACTAGCTTTAAAGTTTTTCATCAGGTATATCTTGGATCAGATATCTGGTTAGAATGGATAATACTAACTCTTTGGTCAGAAGGGGAAAAGTTACTGCAGAAGGTTTGGGGACCTGTACTGAGCAAACAGTATCTGTTATGCAGTAGAGCTGGGGCCAGTAAGTAGAGTCAAGTCAATAGAGTAAATGTTTAGGCTTTTTAGATCAAGAGGCATAGTCACAGATACTATGTAGACATATGTAAAGCACTTAGAACATAGTTTTTAAAAACTAAAAATTAAGTATAGACCATATGTAGCAAACAGGAGGCTGCATTTGTTCCAAAGACCCTTTTTTTTTTTTTTTTTCAAAGACCCTTAATTTTGAATAGGCTGTAGTGAGAGAGAAAGTTTTACTAGGCCTAATGATGTAGACACCTACAATTTAGATTATGCTGAAATTTCCAACTCTCATATTAAAAGTTGGTGATGAATATGAACCATAAAGTTCGCAAACCATAAACAATCTGAGGACTTACCGTTACACTTAGAGAACATTCTTTTCATTGTAGGTAATTGTTTACCAGTAAGGTTTTTCTGGAACCCAGTAAGGACCAACATTGCAAGTAGGCTTTTCTAAGGATATTAGCCCTAGACCTTCTGTATTAACTTTCATACAAAGCAGCCCACAACTAGTTAACCTGTACTCTTAGGAACTTTTAATGCTGTATTTACTATGTAAGACTTACAGACCGTATCTTAATCAGTTTGACATTGTTTTTTGTAATCGTAAAGGGAGTTGTGACAATGTGGAAGGCCGAGTTGAACCACAGATAACTCTACAAAGGGAACAGTTCCTGTCAACATCCATAATACCAAAATAATAGAGAGCAGGCATAGCCTTCCACACTCTTGCACCTACATCTAATTACTTGGTTGGTCATTATTGGTTTGTTTGTTTGTTTGTTTAAATAAAATTTTTATTTTATACTGGTTTACTTACAAAGTTCATATACATTGTTTTTCACATCATATCTTTCCCATTTCTTTTACCCACCCCTCCCTCCACCTATCAAATTGTGGAACCCTATGATTTCCCCCCACCCATCCTCACCCCTCTGCTCCCATCCTCTCCATCTGGGGTCATCATACACGTTTTACTAATTATCTTTCTGTTTCTACAGTACTGGTCTTATACAATATGGTCTTATATGGGACTGAGTTAGTTCACTTAGCATAATGCTCTCAAGTCCCTCCCAAGCTAGGTAGTGATTTTCAAAATCATTGCTTCTGCATGCTACGTAATACTCCATCATGTGAATTTACCATAATTTCTCAGTATATTCAGTTTTGTTCCTCACTTCTCTTTTTCTTGGGGTATATGCCAAGCATTGACATAGATGGACCATATAGAATTTCTATACTCATCTTTTCAAGGAAATGCCAAACTGCCTTCCAGATTAGTGGTATCATTTTACAATCCCACCAACAGTGCAGAAGAGTTCTCCTGTCTTGACACATCCTCTCCAACATGTATTACTTGCTATCCTGTTAAACTTTGCCACTGCTACTGGAGTGAGATGGTATCTCATTGTGGTTTTGATTTGCATCTCTCTTATTGGCAGTGATTTTGAGCATTTCTTCATGTGTCTGTTGGCCATCCAAATATTTTCCTCTGTGAAAAGTCTTTCCCATGTCTATGTCTTTTGCCCATTTTATAATTGTGTTATCAGTCTTTTTCTTGTGGAGGCCCTTTAGGGTTCTGTAAATTGTTGATATGAGATCCTTGTCTGAAATGGTATTGCCAGATGTTTTTTCCCAGTTAGTAGGTTTTCTTTTCATTCTATTAGAAAATGTTTTTGATGGACACAGGGATTTAATCTTTAGAAGATACCATTTATCAATTTTATCCTCTCCAGATTGTGTCTTTCTGGCTGTTTTTAGCAGTCTCTTTATACCATAGACTAGGGCTGTCTAAGCTTGATTCCAGTTTGTCTCTTTGAACTTTATGGTTTGGGCCTTTACTCCTAAGCCTCTGGTCCACCTTGAGTTGATTTTTTAGTTGGTACTTTTTTGTAGCAAATTTATTCTCAGAATTTACTCACAGTTGTGGGGTTTAGTAGGGAAACAAGTTTGGGACTGGAGAAGGCAAAGGATATCCCAGAGTAAAAGTCCATGTTTTGTCTAGTAGCCCTAAAACAGATTAAGAACAGGACAAAATTCCTCAGTTATTTGATACAGCTTCTCAATCCACAAGCAAAAGTCCAGGTTAAGTCCATGAACAGAAATGCATGAAGCCTCTGATTTTCTCAATTATCCTACAAGTTTGCTCTCATAGCAATCACAAGTCAGCTTTTTCCTCATTTGTCAAGCATCCAGAACCTTTCATTCTGTCTCCATCTCCAGGGCTTCTCAGGCTTGGCTTTGCCACCGTCTCTCTACAATCTGGCCAGCTCTCTTATGTTGGCCTCATCTGTTGATTATGTAGAAAACTTAGATCAGCATTAAAATATGAATCTGCAGTTGAGGCAGCTGTAGGCCATTACCCCAGAGGGAGCCTAAGAAAATGATGAGAAATGCCATTTTTAAAAATCCCAACACCACAATAATATATTGAGTTTCACTTACAAGTGCTCTGATGCCTTTGTTCCTTTTTCTCCCCAAAAAAGAATTATGGTGGGTTAGTGGTAAGGAATGGTGCTGCCAGTCCAAAAAAGGTGCAAGATGACATTGTCCCCTCATATGATTTACAGTCTCTAAAAACCACTGGAAGGTCATCTTTGAGTCACTTCCAGTTTGCCAGTACACAGCAGCAGCATTTCCCACCATATCACAGGATTGTAAGACTATTATCTGGTACAGGCTAAAGAACATGATAGCTGTTGCTAGTTATTAATAACTTACTATCCCTTTTTATTATCATGAGTAGAGATCTTTCTCTACACAGCCGTATTAAAAGAATTCTTTGCAGGTCATCTCTTCCTAGGTGTTAAAATTGTGACAAAAATAGAGGTAAGAGTGAAAGAAAGGCTTTAATAAATGTATTCAGATACTTCCGTTTATGCTTTGCTTTAAATGCAAGCCATTCTTGATAAATTTGTAGTTGTTGTGGTTCTTGTTATTATTTGCCATCTAGTCACCTGTGACTCATAGCAACCCTATGTGCAACAGCCCTAAACCCTGTTCTATCCTGTGCCAATCTTATTATCTCTGATACAACTACCCCCATAACCCCAGTAATTGAATCAGTCCCTCTCCAGGGACGGATCTTGCCTTGCAACATGACCACAATATGTTAGACGAAGTTTCAGAAACCTTACCTCCAAGAATCAGCCTGGCTTCACCTTCTCCAGGACAAACTTGTTTGTTCTCTTAGCAGTTCATGATATATTCAATATTTTCGTTTCCAGCACCAAGCTCAAAGGCATCACTTCTCCTTCTATTACCCCTAGTCATTGTCCAGCTTTCCAAAGCATAGTAATTAATTTCAAAGACCATGGCCTGTATCAGGCGTACTTTAGTCTGCTGACTGACATCGTTGCTCTTCAGTACTTGGGAGAGGGCTCTGACAGGAGACTTTTCCAATGCAATACATCTTTTAATTTCCTGGCTGCTGGTACCAAGAGTGTTATTGGAAGAGCCAAGCAAACTAAACCTGTTAACAATCTCAATCTCTTCACCAGCATGATACTGCCAAGTGTCCAAGTGGTGAAAATCTTTATTTTCTTGATGCTGAGCTTTAATCCATATTGAAGGCTACTGTAGTCCTTGACCTGCTACAGCATCACTTTGGGTCCTCCTTAGTTTCAGCAAGCAGGGTTGTGTCATCTGCATAATGCAGGTTGTTGATGA